TAAAAAATCGAGTATATATGAAATAAATCATAAGAAATACAAAACATAACTCGTTTATATATTGAATATATATAATTCATATACGTCATGAATTGGATATGTCACGATTCATTAGACATTAATTAGTAAATAGATCAGATATAAATAAAATATTTTTTTTTGACAGAAACCCTCTTTCACTCGACACAATTTAAAAGCCTAACTGCTACCATCCTTTTCCATTGTTCGATTTTGTCTTGAATTTCTTTAAATTAGGTAGATGCTCCTCCGATGCAAGTTAGCAAAGCGACACTGGTCCCAGCTGGATATGGTACAAATTTATGGATTGTTATTGAGACATGCTTTAGGGAATAAACATAAAAGTTGTGGCTTAGGGATTGAGAAGAGAAAAAATTATTTAATCAGGAATGAACTCGTTACTTCAACTTCGGTCTTTAATGCTCCGATGACTTCTTTTACTCCAATCTAATTTATAAATTTATTCTGTTATTAAATTAATAATGAATCCTTCTATTAGTTGAGATACATCCTCCATTGTTCATTTATTAACCTCAAGATTTGTTTACAATCTTCAGATTAAATCATTATAACTAACTTCAAAGGGTAGTTTAAATTGTAATAGGGACGAGTTATAATCTCAGATGCCTCAAGTTTGAATCATGACAACTCTTTAGAGTCAGACTATGAGGAATTTTTATCCCTCATGAATATCCTACTTCTTACATGAATGGTCTACCTTTGACCAGACCAGGAAGATAGCATAAGCTGACTTGAACACCCCAAACTGTTAGAAACCAAAAAAAAAAAAAAAGCATAAGTTCAGAAACGTCCTCTTTTTTTTCTCCACTTTGTGGGAGGAAAACCGAGCATGTTTGGTGGTTTGTTTTTTAAGTACTAGATTAATTACTTCATATATGCTACTACTCGGATGTTGTTGGTTGGCTGAGTGGTGGTTAGAGAGGATTTGTGCCAAATTACTTTATATGCTCTATTACTTGGGTTTCAATGTTTTTTTTTTTTGGTATTCTACTGCTTCAATTCATACACGATTAAATATCTCCCAACAAGAGCTATGATAACACTGGTTACTCCTCATGGTGAAGAAGTTGGTAAGGTTGTCTGAGTGGTTGGTCGCGTTTTTGGGTTAGGAAGAGTGTCTCCAGAGTTTGCACGCAAAGATAAGGTTGTATACATGTAATCTTTCTTGCATAAAGAGTTATGAGAAACATGCATTAACTTTCGTGTGCAAGATAACAGGCTGCTGAGTAGTCTAAGCCTAACTGTCCCCTTTTATCGCGTTATTATCAAACTCTATAGTGACGGGAGATTTGCGCGATTTTTTGTTTCAAAGAGTTGGTAAAATGGATTCGAAGGGCAATGAGGAAGATAACTTAAATGAGAGGCGAATTTCAAAGACAAGCGAGCACAGTGACCTGAATGGACAAAGAAAAAAAGACAACTACCTTTAGCATAGTGCATATTCACGAAGAGAATCGCAATCTAGTAATTTTATTTTTTTTCTTGACTTTGTTTGCATGCGTTATACTTATCCCTTTCAAAAGGGCTTGATTTCAATCTCAACAAAGAAGGAAGCATAACTTGTGGTCCTCTTACTATTTTGGCCTGCCTTGTGGAGGTCTCTCGAGTGTCCTTGGCAGATCTAATCAGTCTCGTAATGAAGAGAAGTCTTTTCCGATCTTCAAGACAATTGTTTGAATCAGTGGCCATGGAGATGAAGATGGGAAGGAAGGAGCCAGTCGCTATCACAAAGAAAAGAATCCAAATGGGTGGAAGCTTGCTTAATTTGTAAGCAATTTTTTTGCTATTTTTCTCTCACACAAAGTTGGAGATTTTTATCAGAGAAATACATGAAAGTGACACAACCTTTAGGAATGATTCAGTAGTTAAATCTTTCCTCTTGTAAGTAAAATGTTTCGGTTCAATATTTCTCACACTTTCTAAGAGTCAGCTACCCTTGTTCTTCAGGGGACATAACTTTAAATTAACTCGAGTTACGGTGGTCAGCTCAGAGTTTGAGAGAATAATTGACACAATCTTGAACACCGTGCAATAAAAAAAGTATGAAAGTGACACAAAAATACAAAAACCAGAATAAATGCATATGTTGAGAAGGTTGGCACAAAACTCTCCTCTTTTGAAAATCGTGAGGGAGAAGCCCTAGGGTCCCAATCCAACATTAAAAAAAAAATTGAATCACTAGCATAGGAATCTGCTTAAACTTTGAAAAGAAGGTGGTTGGCGCTGCATAGAAAAACTAGAGTGGGAACTGTTGTACCAAAATAGAAATTTTGATTTAAAAATCTGATTTTTAGTCAATTTTGAGTCTATATTAAAATGGAACCTACTCATCATTTCTCCGCAAGAAGATTAACATAATCTTTTCACTTGTTTAAATCGAGTAAAGATGAATATGAAAATAGGCTCCAAAGTAACTAACTTAAAATATAAAAATAGAGATTAGAACATGTGGGATGAAGCTTGGGTGAAACTAAGTGGAGGTCCAAACCGACTGATATTGAAGAATCAGTGGATGAGGTGTGGTTAGGGGTGAAATGTCACTCGAACCCAGAGCTAACTAGTTCTCCCCGAAATGCGTTGAGGTAAGATCGGTTCAGGATCATGAGATCCTTTTCTATCAGATAGGAAGGGCTGTAGCACAAACTGTACTTCTAAGTAATTGCCTCATAGATCTTATATCTATCTATATGAAGAAGAAATCATGTAACGAAGGAGATTTTTATTTATACAAATGTTACTTCGAACTTGGAACGAGCATGAAGAAATTAACGAGAATTCTTTATCTTTTGAGTTCTCAAGTTTTGTCTTTGAGGCCTGGATCAAGATCGATTCCAACAGTAATAAAAAAACTAAGATTGATACTAATAATTACCCAATAATTGATAAGAAAGGTCGGCTCATTCTTTAACAGGCACGCAGTCAGAGCCCGAGGCTCCTCCTACTGCTTGAGAGCTTACGGTTTCATGTTCTATTTCACTCCTCGATAGAGATTCTTTTCACCCTTCTCTCACGGTACTACTTTGGTTAGGCAAGAAAACTTTAATGATCATGTATACTCCTGGTTTATTCTAAGGGTTGAGTCCCAACGGACACCTCAATTTTGTAGACATGAGAGGACCTAGATAGACTTGAGTTCAACCATACATGTGCCCTGTCTCGACTTTGTCAGATTGGGATAAGGTGTGGGTATGATCCAACTTTATCGTTTTTGGGTAAAATTTGTTTGCTAAATGAGTCATTAATGTCTTACCTCGTTCTAATTTTCTACTCGTTAAAATTTAAAATTCACACTAGTACAAATTTGAATTTTTCACTAGTTCAAATTTTAGGTTGCATCTTACCAATGGTGGTTGTTTCGAACAGTAATATATGCATTTATTAATTAATATGCTTGGATTCATTCAGCATTACTACTTACAAATTCATCATTAAAACATTTATTACATTTATTATTCTCGTTGTTTGTGTTCATATAAAAGAGTATGAAACAAAGTTTCAGGTTCGCCTGGTACACAAATTGCAGTGCTTCTTTTGTGTATATTCGACCATTATACCTTAGGAGACATACGCATAAGGATATTCATAAAGCATTAATGTAGAGACGAAATTTGTATTAAGAACATAATTTCAAACATTAACCTTAATCATTTTTAATATTTGTTCGTGGTTTGCAAATGGGCCAGTTTATTTATTTGTTACTTTTTATTGTTGCATGATTTATTTCAGAAATAAAACATGTATATCCTCCCAACATGAACTTAGTAGAGGTGGGATTATTTTCCCTGCTTTTGTCGAGATCTAGCGATAAAAGAGAGTGTTTTTTTTTCTAGTACGAGCCTAGATATCCCCTAATACATTTTAACTTAATTTTTCTCAATAGCAATTATCTGTCATGAATTCAGGTGAAATCTAATACAAGATGAATATGATTTAACATTGAGGAAAATTAAGAAAAAATGAATGGAGATATATTATTTAGATTTAACATTGAGGTAAATTTAAGTAACATTTTTCTTAAATTATTATGAGTGACAATTTGGACATGCTAGCTTAAAATGAGTTGTAATAAACTATATGACTATTGGCACTTTGCCACCTCGAAAATTTTAAAAAATTTCTAAAATGTTGAAGTTATTTTATGGACATCTCCACTAGTCCCTTCCTTTGATTCGATTAAAGGCAAATCAAGACGTCATGACTAAAGTATTCATAAGAAATAAAAAAATTGTCAATATTTAAACTCATGCGTCAAAGTTTATATTGATGAGTTGTTTACTCATTTCCTTTACTTCTAATGCTACTTATTTCATGAACGAAATGTCATTTCATGTAAGCAAACTTACTACATCAATGCATTTTCTTCCTTCCGCAAAAAAATATTTTGCTAACCGAGTAATACTATTGAAACTTAATTTATTTATCTATTTGTTGACACAATAAGTGTTAAATGATAGAATCTCAATAAAAAAAATTTAATAGTTGTAATCACAAACATAATTGGGTCATGTCGATGTTATATCATTATATCAAAAATAAGATTAATAAGTCTCAATAGCATTACTCCTAATCCAAAACTGACGAGAAAAATATTAAATGTAATTGTTACACTACATCAGCAATGTCATGTAGCGTAACTGTCTACTAATAAGTCAACCAAGAAACAAGCGAGTCTTACAAAATTAAGCGATCACTCATCCATGTAATATGTACCCACCTCCATTTAAGATAATGAGATCCATTTTATCTATTTACTGAATTTTTCATTAAACGATTACGAGAATATTACCGCTCGGTATACCCGTTGCCTCTAATATTGACTCAAAAGGAAGGCCTTTGAGTTGTGGTTCCCCCAACAAATATAAAAATAATAATAAAGTTATTTGCACAAATTCTGCATTAAAGAAAAATGTCTGATTTACTTTAACAAGTATTGAACCCATTAGTAAATCATAAAACAAATCAAGACGTAGAGCAACAAAATATAAAATAGTTTTGAACTCAACCAGTAAAAAAAAAAAAAAAACATTTCATCGAACACCCACCCATATTCTTCATTCAGAATTTCTAACGAACACACCATTAGTTGCAGAAGGTGGTATAACACTATATCATGATTTCCCTTCATTCTAACGCATGAAATAACACACACTTATCTCTCTTCATTAGCAACTGTTTTTGTTATTGTCATGCTCCACAACTGCATTGTTTGTTTGGCTCAGCAAGCTGCTTATAGATCTAGCTTTCACCATTCCAAGCTTCATCCTCTTCTGCTTCTTCTTCACCATCAATGGCTTCTTTTCATCATCATCATTGTCCTCCTCTCCATTGTCAACCAACACTACGTTCTCCTGCACTTGCTCTCGCCCGGATGAGGTGGGTAATGGTTCAGATTTGCTACCCATGGCACGGTTTCGAACACTAGACATGCTTCTAAGCCTTCCCTTACCCAAGTGGTGTTCACAAAGAGAATAACCCACAAGGGTCTGTTGGCAACACCTCCACCCCCTCCCATTAACACGGCTGCACCGCGATCCTTCCATTATCACACTACCTTTCTTGCTCCTCTTTCCACTAGATTTCTCACTGTCCTCTTTGTTCGTTTCTCTCTCTTCTTTTTCATCAACATTTTGTCGAACACATTTCTTATTTGTTTTAGACTTCATTTTAGCTTTCATCTTCTTCCCATTCTCCATTATCATCGCCTCTTCTTCTCCCTCCCTTCTTGCAAAGCTCCCTATTCTCTTCTTCAAAGGAACAACTTTATCTCTCTCACACCACCTCCCAACAACTATATAAAGTGCAATGGCAGGTGCACAACCAAACAAAAAAAAAGTACAAAAAAACATTCACAATGGGCATATATATGATAGTGGCTGATCATATTATTCTAGTGGTAGTAAATAATTCTTACCTTGATCAGAAGAAGCTAATGGTTGCAGAACCTGAGCACCTACTTCTGCACCTAAGATGCTTCCTTTTCTGTAAATAAGCAAAGACCCAGATGACCCAGAACCACAAATATCAAATCTTCTGCTGAAAATTAAAACCCAAAACATATATAGAGTGCAATATGATGGGGACCAGTATTCCATGCTAACATACCCCACATGGTTTTTTTTCTTTTTCTTTTTTTTTTTTTTTTGCCAATATATAGAAAAATTAAAAGAAATAGGGAGGGATGGGATGGGATGGGATGGGATGGGATGGGATGGGATGGTAGCTATAGCCAAAGATGATACAAAAACAAGTCAAACAGTATTTCCACTTCAGGTGTATTATTTTTTGGTGGTTAAATCAAGTTATGGTGTCTCTCTTTCTCCTTCTTTTTTCACCTTTTTTACTACAAGATTCATGAAAGAAGATAACAACATTGAGTAACTTTTCTTCTCTTCAATTTTCTTACCTGATATCATTACTCTTCTTATCCTCTCCCCATCTCTCATCTTTAATCTCTTCACCTTCCGGGTACTTCTGCAAAAATCAAATCAAATGTAAGATCTGTGTATCATTATAATAATACCTAATGCAATTCCTATGGGTGCAGATTTAGCATTAAGCATAAATTTTTGGGCGTTAAGAAAAGTTAGTGCAGTTCTATATGGATACACAAACAAAAGAAATATATGATATTCCCACCAAACAAACACGCCTTTTGGTTCACCTGGAGTTCATTGGAAGTAGTAGCACAAACCCATCTGGTCTTTTCGCTTCCGATCATCATGGAGTGGCTGGAGGACGGTGGGAGATGCTGATTAGGAGGATCGGTCTGCGGAGAAACGGTGTTAGGCTCCGGCAAAGGTAGATTTCCTAGTGGGTGCACTTGTATGCTATCTTTTGTCTGGTGCCGTTGCACCACCGGTGACCGGTCAAGTTGGGGATCTGAGACAGTCGCTGGAGAGACAGATGATGGAGGAAAACGCTTCCTGATCCTCATGGCTGTTTGTTATGTATGGATAGCTGTAGAGAGAGACACAGAAAAATTTGATGGAAGGAGTGGACGAAGACCAAGATAGCAAGAAATGATCTTCCAGGCCTGATTTCTAGAGAGAGAAAGAGAGAGAGAGTGCAAAGACCCCAAAATACTACAATCCCCAAGAAATTTTTTTGCTTTTAGTAACCCTCTTTCTCTCACTTGTTTATCTCTCTAACTTTTATTTGTTGCACCACACAACAGACAGATAACACAAGAAAGGTTAAGAGTTGGCACGTGTAGAGACTGGTATACGGAAGGTGGGACACGTGTGAGCGCGGACTGGTGCGGGAAGTGTGGGTGACCGGCTACCGGAATCGGGGAAGGTACGGAAGGTGACAGGTTGGAGGAGAGAGAGAGTACAAAATGATGGGAAGGTTGGATTGTTTTATCGTTTACACCTTTAGAAAAAAAGGTAGGTCCCACTTTCAACAACGACCAAGATGCTCTCTCCTCAATGAAGAGAAATTTGAAACCTAAAAATTATAGGTAGGATTATTCTCGCTCTATAAATATTTAAATTTATTTAATTTAATTTATTTAATATTAAATTATTAAATTCATTTATTTTATATTCATCTTATTAATAATTAAGTTCACTCTATATTATATACACATTTTTAATAAATAAGTTCCTCTAATATCTTCTCAGAATATCTCTAATTATGACATAAATTTTTATTCAAATTTAAATTAGTATAAAGTGTTTTCTTGATTTGTTTCTTAATTTATTTTCTTGATATTTTTTCTTGTTTTCTTTTGAGTTTTGATAAACTTTTCTTTCTAATTTTTTTTGTCTTACGTGTTAAATGGATATCTATAGCATAGAATGAATTTAGTTACAAATGAAAATGATATAGAATGAGTGGAATTAATAGCTTGATAATAACAAATTAAATAAGTGATGATGAATATTTTTAGGGTGGAAATAGTCTCATCCAAAATTATATTAGATTAAGAGTAATTTTATTTGAACTTAATTATTAATATAATTTATTAATTTAATTATTAGATTGACAATAAAATTTAGTATTTATTATGACTCGCAACTAATTCGATAATTGTGATGAATTCAACCAATAAATTAAATTTAAATAATATTATTGTTGTAAGTAATGAAACCCAAAAATATAATCATGAATGAATAAAAAGATATTTAGGTAATTGGTTCTGAAAAGAGCTTACAGACAAGGTGTATTCCTCAACCTATTATTTTGCGTCCATCCTCATGTGAAAAGCCAAAGTTGTTCACATACATATTTAGTTAAAAGAAATTAAGGTCACCCAAGAATGACCTTAAGTACAGGTATCCAAGAACAAGAGGTTATTCCAAAAGCAGAACAACTTAACGATAGACTCTTCTAGAATCATGGGGGGCTACAACGTATCCAACCTTAAAAACATGTCATAAGAACATCTCAATATGTTCTAGAAAGTCAAGTCATATTTAGGAAATATAGTTTATAATAGTCTAACATTTTCTCAACAAAATTTTAATAAACTTGAGGACAATGTGATGATGACACAAGGACCACCCCACCTATGGATATAAATAAAAATGTCTTCTCCATGTAAAAGCGTCTAACAAATTGTAACCCTATATTCTTCTCCAAACAATAGACAATTTCCAAGAAGCAAGAGACTCAATTAGTGTGAATTAGTCAAGTTTTTCAGCTGAGAAATCACTATAATTTGTGTGTTCTTTATCTTCCTTAGCTCGTACCATTGAGCCACCAACCACCTCAGATCATCTTCTTCTCCGATTATCACTTACACACTACTGTTGATAAACTTTTAGCTCTTCAACTTAAGTATCACATCATGTTTCGAGTTCGCATATCATCAAGAATAAACATTTATATTGTACACAAGTACCAAACTTTTTTCGGCCTCTTCACAAAAATCATTATCAGTCTGTCGAAGTGGCATTTTTTGCTGTTAAAGGATTCGTCTATCACCGAGGCAAGGCGACATCGAGTTGCATAGGGTGGGAGATTACAAGAACATAGCCATTGTGTTGGCTGAGTGGCAGAAAAAACAAACTACTAAAAAACAAGACAAACTATAAGTCTAGTAGTTTTTAAAGTGCGTGTACAAAGTCCACCGTCTAAACTCCCCTAGAGGACTACCTAGCAGGTTCGGACTGCTAAAGTCACGTCTAGGTAGCAACCCTTTTTATCTAGCTAAAAAATAAAGCAAGCAGGTAATTTTTGGAAATTTCTATATGGCCTGTGGTTAATATCATCAATTTTCATAGAGTTAATTATCTATTTAAACCCTTGAACTATACAACTAACTCAATGTGATTTTTCTATCCAAATTTGTCCTCAATTTTCGACGGAATTACTCGCATGCACATCACGTAGGCCCTTGAACTATAATCTAATATTTAACTCACGTGATGTACACATGAAGATTTTAGTCAAAATTAACGACATAATTGTGATGGAATGGCCACATTAGTTCAAATTACATAGCTCATGAACTAAATTGACACAGAACATATATTAGGAATTTGATTGACACAAATGATATAATTCAAGAGCCAAATCAATAATTAACTCATTTTCATAACAATTCAATTATGCGTTTTTTGGTATGGAAAGTAGGAGGGATACACTTTCTATTCTTCAAGAAAGTAAAATATGAATGATACATTTTCTTTCCTTTGTATTTGGTTGGATGGATGAAAAATAAAAATGACTATTTTTTTTTTGCTGGCTAAGATTAAGGATAACAATTGAGTCGTGTCGTGTCGTGTCAGATTCGTGTTGAGTCATTACGGGTTTGTGTCAAACATAATTCAACTCATTTAACTAATTGTTTCATATCGAGTTGTGAGTTGACCTACTTATTTTCATGTCGTGTTTGTGTTGACCCACATAAACTTTAAATAAAAAAATTTAACGCTAATATTCTATTTTCACTTAATTGAATCCATATTAATATTTTTTCTACAAATTAAAAATTAACTTAAATAAATATAATAATAATAAGTAAAAATATCTTTTTTATATAATAATTATGTCAGTACTTAATAAATAGTTACAAATAATTAATATTTTATGTCTATAATACTAATTAAACATGTTAGTTTCATGTTAATTTCGTGTTATCATACAAATAAAAAAATAAAACAAGTGTTTTTTTTAAAATAAACGGGTTGATGGTGTCAATTTTGAGTTTGACTGATTGAACTGAATATGAGTCTTTTATATTTCTTGTTCGCGTGTCAGTCATTTTCAAGTTCATATCGAATTATAATTAAGTTCGTATCATAAAATTTGTGTCGAATTTGAGTTGTGTTATTGTGTTAAATCGGAAATTTTCAACCCTAGTTAAGATGGAAAAAATATTTTTTTTTAATTTAAAATTTTAATTTTAATTTTTTATTTAAAAATAAATAAATAAATATATATATATACATATTTTATCATTGGATTTTTTATTAGAAATTAATATATACATAATATATGTATATATATTAAAAGATATATAGACAAATAAGATACATTTCAACACAAATAATTAACTTTTCATCCACTTCCTTTTAATTCTGGAGAGATTGATTTTGGTGAGTTAGAAGGAAAGTTAATTCATCCATTTTTCCATCCTTTCTATTTTTTTTCTTTATCAAAACATTATGTTTTATTTATCCCTTCAACCTTTCATCATTCTAACTTTCCATCGTATCAAACCGAGCATTACACTTGCAGCATGCCATGATCCTGTTTATTTATTAATCAAGATTGTGTCGGGATGAATTAATCATTCCAAAGTTGCTAATGATCCACCTTTGTTCGCGTTTCTTCATTTTTTTGACATCAAATTCGGGAGTTAGATGTCTTAGAATAACTGCTACGCATTATTTGCCCAATTATATTGTAATTTTGGCACCTTAAATTCAATCTTCTGTCGATCTTTTGATTTTCTAAGAGTTTGATGAGTGGAAGATTTATTATGAGGTTGTTCTTGATTCTAGAGGCTTAATCACTCCAACTATTTGATTTGGATTCAAATCAGCTCCTAGAAAGACACTGGAGCTGATATTTTAGGCATATGAATCGCCTTCCAACTCCGGTACCGGTGAAAGAGAGCGGTATGAGAGAGAGATTAAATTAATTTTAAATGATTTATTACTTAAATATATGATCACTTAAGGTATAACAAAAATATGATTCTTGACCGAGCAAAATGGCGAAACAAGATTCTTGGGAAAAGACTTTGTTGAGTTAAGTATGAATTGCCTTCCGATTCTCGACTTCCCTGATTCATGTATGAATGATTATCTTCTTTCTCAACCTTCAAAATCATTGAACAGGTTTCCTGTAGGTGGTTTCTCGGCTTACCAACTCTGTAGGACTTGGAAGCCCTCGCAAAGATTTAGGTTCTTTATCGTTCTGGAACTGCATTATGTACCACCCTTTAACAATTTTGCCAATTTCTATCAGCTCCTGCTTAAAAGGCTATTCAAGCTCAGAAGAGTTTATGAGTTTGGAGGTCCTTGTGGAACCTCAAAATTGACTCATCTCGAGCACCTTGGTCTGCCAGACATGAAGAATAAGATGCCCACCAGCAGAACTGAATCGGTTTTAACGGCGTCTCTTCAGTTTGCAGGGTAAAACACCCATGAACAAAGACATATAAGCCATGGACAGACATATTTGCAAGTAGTTAATCAGTTTCTCGCACCGTCTTGAGAAATCCCCTTCCTGTGTGGCACAAGCTTTCCTGCATTCATTCTACAGTGGCAATAGAAAATGGGGAAATACATGTGCTTTTGGCAAATTGGCAAGGAATATATCTTTAGGGATATCTACATATGGAGTACTGAATTTGTTCATTTCAAAAAGCAATCGACATTGGGCATCCATGGATTTCACAATCTCCCAAAGGGTATTGAGTATGTCTTGTGTCATGTTGAGATGGATAGGTGTACGGAAATGGACTTTTTCATGGAGTAGACAAAGGTATGGCAAGATTGGTGAAAACATATTGGATTGTGGAGTTTCTATGTGTAACTTTGGGGTTTCTATGTATAATATTTGAGGTTTCTACGTATAACAGCGAGAACCTGCAACACTAGGGATTTCAAAACTTCAGGTATCTGTATCTAGGTTGTTTTCCAGAGCGTTCAACTGTTTTCCCTTCATAGCAGCTGTCAGAAAACCTCAAAAAAAAAAATTGAAGCCAGATTGTGCAATTAACTGGGGATTGTTTGAACAAAATGCTATCTGAGCCTAGGCTGCCAAATCTGGAGTGGTTGCAACTGCGCAAACTACCAGAGTTGAAGAGCATCGAATGGGCACAAGCATATCTAAGACTATACAAGCCCTGGAGAGTCCAAAACAGCATAAGTTGGATGAGACCATCAAATTGGCAGTATTTTATAGATCTTATGGATTTCCTATGTTCTATTTGAAGAGCGTCTACAATGGAAACCAGCAGTCTGAGAGCTTAAATAACCTTAAATCTCAGAAAGCCTCAAGACTCTCCAATTAAATATGGTAAAATACTGACAACAGCGTTTGAACACAGAACAGCAGCAGAGTATATATTGCCAAAGCTATGCACTCTGCATGTACAAACTGCCAAATTAGGAATGCCTTGATGGTGTTGTGGTTTCAAGGTCTTCAGTTACTTATCAGAGAAAAATGATGCTGGTGTGAATGACAATGTCATCAGTTCCTTATAGAGAAAATTGGCATTACATGGGAATGTAGGTAACCAGAGTGTCGTAAGCAAAACAGAAATTTATTTGGAAGTTCAGCAACTTATGGAACAGTGGAAAGAAATTGAAGAATGTTAGATGAAATGGCAATCAAAAGAAGCTAAGAGGTGGTGATTCAGAGTTGAAGGGCAACATAAATGTTTTGTGATTCCTTTGCTGATTTGGACATATAGTCATCAGACCAGTTTTCGATCCACATGACTTTGCTTTCAAATGTTTTATAAATGATTGATTGTCCTATTGTTCTTGTGATGGATTTGCATATCTACTCAACCACCAGGCTAAAAGCCGGTGAGCATTCCTGTGTTTTCATGAAACATAAATATGTTTCATAGGGGTATAAGTCGCACCTTTCAAAGTGAATGTCCAATCTAATGAGAACCATGGATAGATTCAAGTCCAAACTCATCCATCTGTCTTATTGCTTGGATGTGTGTGTTGACTATTATATGCTATGACATTGCATTATTGAAACAGTAACATTTTAACAAATGTGTTTGTAGAGTAGATCAAAACAAATCAAAGAACAAAGAGATAAACAGTACTTCTCCAACCCCTCTGGGCAGGGATAATCCTGTTCTTTGATTGAACTTCACATTCTCAGAAATCTAAGCATACTGACCAGCATGAAAGCCTCGAGCGTACCTGCAAGCATGAAAAATGATACCTTAACATAGCCTTTCATTTGTAGAAATATAAGCTCATTGGTGAAAGAATGCATTCATTTCAAATTTTCATAGTTAGCGGATAGTTTGCTGCTCCTACTTACGCCATAGTCCATTGACTCCACACTAATTATGCTTTTGATGATCTAACTTACCATTTTTGATTTGGTTGTTTGATCGGTGACATCTGATTTGTCCCTGGATCCATTTGCTTTTGTCTTCTCATTCTCCTGACCCCATTCCATCCAAATGTGAGAACCAATCCCAGTTGAAGATGCTTTATTCAGTCCATTCTTTAGACTTTCACTGTGCAAAGGAAAAAATGGTTGCTTAGCCAGAGTTGGCGCTTCATCTGCTGCGTGTTTTGGATTAACACTTACCCACTTGGATACCATTGTATATCTGTGGCTTGTTTCTTTAAATTCTTGAATATTCACCTCATGGTCATTAACTTCTCTCCTTGCTTCACCTCCGTCTTCATCAAGTAGAATAGATTTTGCAAAATCAATCGAAAAACATGCCTCACTTAACATATGGCTTGGAGTTGCCAGATCCTCATAACATGGTGTCGATTGATATGTAGGTTGAGACTGATCTTGGAGAACTTCTTGCCCAATGCTATCCCCCATGCCCTTGACTCCTTGCGTTAGTAACTCCATTAGTTCATCATATTTACTATGGGAGTCAATTCTATTCTGAGTCTTCAAAGAGTTGGGCTGTGGCACAGAATGATTTTGAAGCATTGGTGCTCCTTTGTTTGTTATGGCACATGCCGGGTGGGCATCAAACTCACATAAGCTACAATGATAGAGCCAGCCCTTATAACTAGGCTTTTCACATAAATCGCATTGGAAGTCATATGGTGGTGAGAATTCTAGTTTGAGTGTGTGAGGATGGGAAGGGGTTTTGACAGAAAGAGGCATCGATAAGCACAACATATGATAGTAATTGCCACGTCTTGCACAACTATAGTAGAATCCATCAACATAGTGTCCACAAGCCTCACATTTGAAGGAAGGTTCTGCAGATGAAGGCATGGCTTGGAGAGTAAAATGGTGGCCTGGATCTGCAGGGTGTCGGACTTTTGTTGGCATACTGTAGCATACCTGGTGAAGGTAAAATCGACAAGTTTTGCACCTGTAGTAGTACTTGCCTGGCAATATATTGAGCTTGCACCCAAAACATTTGGTGTTTCCTTTGGGAGGTAAATTGGTATGTTCCAATTCATGTTCATGGCTGAAGTGATGAGACAGAAGCTCCTCTTTAGGTTCTTCCATGTCCAAAACTTTTCAACCAAAGGGTATTCAATGCATGGCCATTGGTCTTTCTGATATCTGAAAAAGCATAGGTTAAATCTCATTTCTGTAAATTATAGAAAAATATCGGATGGAACGAGGGAGATTGCCAAATGAATTGTAAACTAAGGACAAGAAGGAAACCAAAGCAAGAACCAGACCGATCAACCAATCAAATTAGTGAAAAATGCTCTCTCCACAACTATTAATGAAACTGAGACATCTGTGTTTTATTAGTTTAAGCCTTGAGTTAGAATATTTATGTTTGAATTGGTAGAGTCTTGTTTTTATGTGATTGTTAATCTAGTTGTCATGCTTTAAAAAATTACTCTTCTCAGATAACACCAAGAGAAAGCTGTCTCGTGAAGTTCCATGAGCATATAATTGATATATTCTTTGACTATAGTGATTTTTTCTTCTGTTTGGAAGAATTCTCCTGTGAAGCATTGAATGGGAATGTTGTGCGTGTGTTTAAACAGTTGGAAACAAGGAATGCTAAGGTTCTCGGGGGGAGGATCCAATCAAGCTGGCTAGGACATTTAGGGTGAGTTCTTATTGTTTTATCTTAAGCAAGAGCATCATGTCCGTTGAAGCTATGGACGGCAAATGAGTGGGTTGGGTTGGGTTAAATTGGATTAAATTAAAATAAATCAAATTCTTTTTTCACTCACCTAATAAATGGGTTATAATGGATTGGATTTATAACGGGTTGAGTTAAATTGATTAACCCATAAAATAATTAAAATTCTTAATAGATACATTAGTACATCAAAATACACACACACATATTAGTAATACACCAAAATACAAACATACACAAACTAATACATTAAAACTATACACACTAATACAATAAAAATACACACATATATACTAACACAAAAACTAAAACATATTTAATAAAAAAAAATACACACATAATGGATCGTGGGTCAACCCATGGGTCATGGATTGACCCACAGGTTATGGGTCAATCCATGGCCCGTGGGTCAAGGGTGGTGGATTAGTGTGTGTGTTTTTTGTGTACTAGTGTGTATATGTTTTAGTGTACTAATGTATATGTGTGTATTTTTTTGTGTAATAGTGTGTATATTTTTTAGTATATTAATATATTTATTTAATTTTATTACTTGTATTATTTAATAAATAAATAAATATTCAACCTAATAGATACTCACTTATAATTCATATTTAACCCGCTTAATTTTAATTAATATAGATACTCAATCTATTTAAAATCCGTATTAATTAATATAGGTACCCAACCGATTTCTTTATGGACGAGTTGGGCGGATTAATGGGTAATGAGTTAAGATTGCCACCTCTAATTGAAGCATATAAATATTTGGGTTAATTATTTTTTACCTATATGTGATTTCGACCAAAAACATCTTATCTACTGGACATTTAAAATTATGCACGTTCGATTCATAGACAAAATGACAAAATTAATTTGTGTTTTTTAAACTGCTGTGAACAAGGAGTGCTGAGGCCTTGGCAGGAGGATCCAATCAAGCTGGCTATGCCATCTAGGGTGAATGAAGTCTATCTTTCTCTTAACTTGGTGATGCCCATATGGTTCTTGTTTTATCTTGCAAGAGCATCACATAAATATGTACACACACACAGATATATATATATATATATATGCGCATGCATAATATTTTTCATAGTGCCTCGGCTTGTTGGGCCGAGGAACAACAATGAACAGGACAAAGCACGAGCATTAACTAATATAAATATAGTAGCTATCATAGGGTGTGAATTTTTGGCGTAACATGCATTTTTTATCCATCGAGACGTATATTAAACTCTTGTATTTTGAAAAATGAACATGAACTCCTTGAGGTTATGGATTATTGTAATTTTTTTTGTTAATTATAGAATCCAAAATTTTCAATAAAATAATAAATCAAGACCACCTTGCAGCTTCCTCACAATCAATTTTTTCTTTCTTTTATTCAAAATTAATTTCTATATTTGTATTTAATTTTTGAAAAATTAAGCTACCTACAGTGATTGATATGCTCTAAATTTTTCCTGGCTCATTTTGACTTAACCTTGTGCAAGGAAAGGTAATTTCTTTCATTTTTGAGTTAATTATCTATTTAACCCCTAAACAATATCATTTGTGTTAATCAAACCCCTGAACTATGTTTTATGTTAATTTAGCCACTGAACTTCTAAATAACATTGATCTATCAAAATCCATCCATATGCTCCTTTTTCTCTATGCCTTTTCTCTCTGTTTCATGTCTTTTCTCCCTTTCTTTCTCATTCTGTCTCCTTTCCTCTCTCATTTTCCTTCCACTCTTCCTGACGACCACTTCAATGGCTTCAACCTGCTGCCCACTGTATTACAAAATTACTAGCCTATGATTGGCTGCAAAATAGACTATTATTGACCAAAAACTTAGTCATGACAGATACAGGATTACATATAGACAACCCCAAAAAACAAAATTGACGCCAAATTCACCTCATTTCTTGTTTACCAAACACAAACCAACTGTGCTAGGATTTAGCACCATCGTCATAGCAAAATCAGATGGAGAAACTCAAAGACAAAAGAACAATGTCTTTCGTAGGGAGTTGTTTACGATACCAAAAAAAGAATTCATTTTGGTATTGTATTGACACTTAACAATTTTTGTGGAGTGTTTTTATTACTTTTGTAGTACTTTCAATCGATCCTAAATAAAAAACACAACAGTAGTAGAAACACTCACAATAATGATAAAAACACTTACAAAATTGTAAAATTAGGCAGTACAGTATTGATATATTTTTTTTTTTTGGTACCGTAGGCGAAAAAACATTATTTTTCCACATTTTTGGAAGCCCATACATTAACATGCTCTTAGGAGTGCAGTTTGGGTTGGGCAACTCGATTCAACCCGAGTCCAACCCGAAAAAATTAGGGCTTGGGCAAGGGTTTTTAATACTAAAGTTGAATTTGGGTCAAAAAATTCCAACCCAAAATCAATTTGGGTTGGGCTCGGGTTAAGGTCTCGTGAATCCGGATTTAACCCGAACCCGACAAATTTAAAAAAAAAATTATATATTATATATATAAAACATTAGCACTGATTTTTTATTTTTGTTGTATCGTTCTTTTTGCCTCTCTCGTTCTTTCTTGTTAAAAATTTGGTTAAAGTTATTGATTGTTAATTTAGGTGAATATTATATAATATATGTATTAGGTTTAGAACAACAAGTTTATTTTGGGTTCTATCCGAATTGAACCCATAAAGTAACCCGAAATCAGCAACCCGAACACGCCCGAATTAAATTCAGACAGTGCTCGGATTGAATTCCCCAGCCCGAGGTAGGGTTAGGATTAGAATTAGGATTAGAGTTGAAGATTATATATTTAAAATTAAATTAGAATCGTTTGTTCAACCCGTCCAACTCAACCGAGTTGCAGCCCTCCATGCTCTCCACAAGATAATTTTTGCCAAGTATGAATAGAGTACATATTTGAAAGAAGGACGAGGTGACTGGTGTGGATGCGTGGGAATCGGGCCTTTTAATTTCAAACTCAATAATATTAAGTTATTTTAAATTGATTTTGTACTACTTTTCCAAAAAAATTTAATTTGCTGAATCAGTATCACGCTTGCTGAAATTCCTAGAATGGAGAAAAAGTGTCGTTTCAATCATAGAACGTGTGCTGCGGGCTGGGCTTAGAAGGAACCAATGGTATGCAACCACATTCTATTTTCTAAGATTTGAAAATCTAATAATTGGAGATATATTGAAGTTTGGAACTCTATATTAGTATAGTATATTAGATTACTAGAGATAATTCGTGCCTAAAAATACGGGTACAATGTAAATAGTTTTGATAGAATTATTAGTGACCATTACTGTGCGTGCACGATCCTGCACAATATAAAAACGAGAACAGATCTCTCATTTGGTGAACTCGAGTGAGTCAGTTGAGTGACCAACCACGCTGCTTGGAACAGCCTGCGAGGTCCGGTGGTAACCTGGAACGGCAACGGAAGACCCTGGGGGAGCGGAAGAACGATCCAGTAAGGCTGAAGAGAGGTTCCTGGAACAAAGAAGAACAAGTTAGAAGGGCGCCGGAGTGTTTTCCGGCGTATCCCCTCTGACGATCTAGTCAGTCTTTGAGAGAGAGAGAGAGAGGAAGAAGAAAACACTGAGTGTGTATTGTAGTAAAGAGTTTTTTGTTGCATACCCGTCTTGCCTTTTGCAAGGAGTATTTATACCTCAAAAGCTCATGATTGCTGTCAGTGTAGTCAGTAGGTGATCATTAGGTACAGACAGTGTGTGCACTGATTCTGATGAGGAATGTCTTCCCTTCTTAACTGCTCGGGGTCCCGAGCAATCAATGCTGCATCATCGGGATGCCGACGGTACAATGAACTCCTTTCGGGGAGGATGCAATAAATGTTCTGTATTAGGAACATTTATTGTCTTTCATTTCCGAACCTTACCGCATTGAATGCAGTCTCGTCAAGGGAATGGTGTAATGAATCGTTTGCTTTCCCAAGTCGCGTGTCAGCAACGGCATGCGATTTTTCTGTCTTTGATGTGACATCATATGCCACGCGTCCATCCCCCATTGGCTGTGGCCCCTGCATTCCAGTACATTCTGACACTAATTGTGTAAGACGAGGTCATGATGAATAACCTAGACTAGCCTAGGCTAATGACATGTACGTCAATAGCTTATCATGGAGTAGAGGAAGCGTCTAGGACGGGGTACCTCTCGGCACCGAGGAAAGGCTCATCTCGGAACTGAGGGAGGTATACCGACCGAGGTACCATATCAGACCGAGGCTACGTGTCGGTTGTAAAACATACTGAATGCCATGATCCTATATGACGAGTACCTCGGGGGCGAGGACCTTTGTGCGCCGATGGTGCTTGATCTTAGCAACAGTGTTTTGGTAATACCGAGGACACGTGTCTTCATCATGGAGTATTTCAGAAAAGTCTCATCAACTGCCCCC